AATGTTTTCAAAAGACTTAACAAAAGCTTTAAAGAATAGTTCAAATCATTTCTTGAAAGATATTTGTGAAAGAAATTATTGAGATGAAGTTTTCTACATAAAAGTTTTTGAAACAATAAAAAAAATATGTTTTGGTAATTCATTACCAGACCTTGTAATTGTTGAGCTTAGAGGAGCCTGAACTTGATGAAGATCAAGATTATCTCTGAAGCTTAAAAGAGTTTTGATGATCACAAAATGTGTGTCGAGGACAACAACAAACACCAAACAACTTAGAAGATAAAAACAAAGTCAAAGAAAGTGTTATGTAATAGGAATTAGTATATAAATTGTTTTAAATGATTTTATTTGTTGTGTTTGCTGTGTGCATAAGCTAATCTATATCTAAACTAAGTAGAGAGTGTATGATGATGAGTTAAAGGGACTAAAAAGTTATTTTGAGACTTAAAACGAAGTTTTGAAAACTAACTCAAAATAATCGATTATCATTAAATATAATCGATTATTCCAGCAACAGGAAAAATGGGATGCCTTGCTGCAGTAATCGATTATTTGTGAAATAATCGATTATCCCATAAATGACTCTCTAGAATAATCGATTATCCAGCAAAATAATCGATTATATTGTTCTTGGTTGGTTTCCAGAAAATCTGAAGAACAAAATAATTGATTATTCTTTAAAATAATCGATTATCTGGTTCTGAAACTTTTATAAATAGTTTGAACATTTTGAAATTTTTCTATAACAAGTCTTTAAGGAAACTTCATTGAAAATTCAGCCTTAGAAAAGTTTAAGTGAAATAAAGATCCTAAATACTCTGAAATTTTTTAAAGGGTCATAGAATCCAATTCACCCCCCCTCTTGGATTGTGTCATTCTTTTCTAACAGTAATCCATTACCAGAACAAGAAATTTCAAAGTTCAAATTCTGAATACAAAATGTGTTCTGGTAATCGATTACCAAACCTTGTAATCGATTACCAGAAGATAAAATTTCAAAATTTGAATTTAAATTATACGTTTCAAACATTTTGAACTTAAACCGTTATAATCGATTACCAAGTCTTGTAATCGATTACCAGAGCCTTTTTTCTGAAAAATTATAGAAAGTTACAACTCTTCATGAAAAGACATAACCTAAGAAACAATTGTCTATAAATACCTATAATTTTTCAGAGAAAGGTGACGAACTCTATTGTGAAAATCATTTACAAAAACTACTTGGCCAAAGTCATTTGCAAAATCTCTAAAGAGTTCTTTAAGATCATAAAAGTGTAATATCTACTCTTCAAAGAGAGTCATTTTGTAATACCCTATTGATCTGTTGATCTGTAAAGGAGAAAGGGTTTTTCTCCTTGTTGGTTTTTTGAATCACAACACAAGGAAGGGGAGTTCCGAGGTGTTGGAGGATTCAAGTCTTGTAAGGTTTACAAGAGTAGTGAAAATCTCAAGTGGGAGACTTGAGGACTGGATGTAGGCAGGATTGGCCGAACTAGTATAAAATCAAGTTTGCAATTCTTCTTTCCTTTTCTTGTTATTAATTGTAATTGTGTAGTTTGCATCATCATTCATTCTTTACATATAAATTTATCTACGGAATTAAATTTGACATGAAAGTAATTGGAAAAGTTTTTATAAGAGGAAATTTAGAAAACTTAATTCACCCCCCCCCCTCTTAAGTTAATTGAGGCTAAGTGACTAACATATATTACATTTGAATAACTTTAAATAAAGGTAAAGAGTATTACATTCGAAATTCAAATAAAATCAAACCAAATGCCTAGCCATTACAAATCTAAAGAAGATATATCTTAAGGAAAGTAAATTATAATTCATAAAGCATGAACATAATAAAAAATCCTTAGTATCATAGGTATCAAAGTTATCACTTTAATCAACTAAACTTTTGCAAAAAGGAAGCCTCCTACAATCACATATAAAACATCCACAAAGGAAAATAAGGGCGTGAAAATATATCTTACTTCAGCTATCGATGTAGAATAAGGTTAGATAGTCACATTCCTTTATTTTATCCTTAATTTTTTTAATTATGTTCCTACTATATTTCATACTTGATGTGAATTATTGCTTTATAGTAATTTTTTTAATTATGTTCCTACTATATTTCATACTTGTCCAATTGTCTTTAATTGATTAGTTGATAAATTTTATGTATCATATGGAAACTACAATTTAGAATTTTTTTTATTCTTTACGTATAATTGAATTGCCATCATCTAATGAAGTTTAATCACATAAATGTGTACATTATAATAATAATACAAAGAAAACAATTTATACAATATTTTCTTATACTTTTTTTATAATTAATATATAAAATATCATTAAAAACTAAAATAGAAAATTCTCTATTTTAAAGTGCAAATAATTATTTGTCAAAAAATACAAGTAATTAAAAAATACATGTAAAAAATTATGCATAAAATTCAAATAAATATAAAGTAAATAACTTGCTGTGAATAAATAATAATAATAATAATAATAATATTTGGTATGAAGTCTTAAAATAGAAACGGTAATGACATCATAAAACTATTAATTATTGTAATTAATTATTAGTTAAAGTAAATGTGAAAGAATATTACGTAAAAGTATAGGTTTAAATATATTTTTAAGTCTACCATTTACTTTTTAATCCCTCAAATTAAATATTGATCTTTTAGTCATGTAATTTAAAAAGATATTGTTTTAATTCTTATACTCAAATTTTGTTTAGAAAATTTTCAAATATTATCACATAAAATCTATTTACTAATGTCTTTGTCATTAAAAATATTACATTAAATATAGTTAATGGTGCATAATTGTCTCACTCTGTCACTTTCAAATATATTATTTATGGCTTGCGACTAAAATAATATTTTATAAAATTATAAGGACTAAAAATGACATTTTAAATTCGAGAGATCAAAAATAAATTTACTCTGAATTTAAAAGACTAAAAATATATTTAAGTCTAAAAGTATATTAAATATTACATAAAAGTATTATTTACTACACTAAAATTGAACATTAATACATTAAAAATTCATGTATAATATTTATATATATTTTTAGTATTTCACATAAAATATCTAAGAAAAATATTAATTATAAAAATTATTAATTATTATATTAAAAATTCACTTTAATGCATTAGAAATAAATATAGTGCCACAATTCTATCTACCTATTGAAGCATAAAAATGTAGGTTATAGAAGTTATTTTCATGAGGTGAAAAAAAAAAGTTATTTATTAACAAACTAAAATTGAAATGCATGTTTAGGAAAAGGACCATTGATTTTATTGAAAGATAAAAGGTTTTAATTGAGATATTAGTTCTTATTAATCATTTTTTCAAAAGCAAAATAAATAGCCTAACTAATCAATTCTTGATGAGATGAATTGCCATATCAAAGTTGAAATATGTACTATTATTCTTTGACAATATATGTAATTCTAATTAAAATGCATCTTTACAAAATAGCTTTAACTAAAACAATTCACCCTTGAAGAAGTACAACCGACAAATAAAATTATTTTATTTCTATTAAATATGAAATTATATAATAATATCAAAATAGAAATACAGTAAACAAAAGTATAAAATAATAAAAAAGTACATTCATTTATAATATTAATAAAGAGAATACCTTATTTTGGTGTCCAACTCTTTTTTTACCCTTTTTATCTCTTAATTAATTTATTTAATTTTTTCTTATTTTTTAACTAATTTATTTAACTACCTTACTATTATGAAGTTAATAATACATTTTCTTAATTTTATCATTTTTATTTATATTTTTATGACAAGACACAAAATGTCCCACTTTTACTAATATGTATTATAGTGGTATATATATATATATATATATATATATATTCAAATCTTATTTTTAATATTTTGCTTTTACCTCTCTCCTTCAATAAGTTAATTATCATCTTATCACATTTTAATTTTTATATTTATTTGAAAATTTTGAAATGAAGAAAAATGACTCTTGTCTGAGATTTAGACATAAAAAAAATATAATTTTTCATATTAAATTTATATAATTATATTATCTTTTAAAATGAAATAAAATATAAAAATATATTTTATTAAATAAAATTTAATATATTGTGATAAAAATTAACTAAATTTTCGTAATCGACTAGCTTTTATTTATTTTAGGATTCTCTTTGATAAGGATTTGGAAGCAGAAATGTGTTGCTTCTCTTTGTACGTGTACCGTACACTTGCAAAACAAAATAATTACAATAATAACGTACGTTTATCACGTGTATTATTAATTGACCATATTTTAAAATGTGTTAATTATTCAATTGTCCTACCATATATAAAAGTAATTTTTAAAGGCATTGGTTTAATCTTTCAAAAAATATAAAAGCATGTTGGTTTAATCACTAACTTTGTGAATCACGTTCAAAGATTTTGAGAGGTTGGTTAGGTTTAGCTTGCGTGGTTGCACGCATAAGTTTAATATGTATTAAATAGTTTTAAATTAATATAAAATACTATAAATATAATTTATAAGTCAAATCAACTTCTTATATAAAATATGAATGACTATTTTACATAAAAATATTTTAATTTTTTTAAAGATTCATTAATTTTATATTTAATATAATTTTTATATATCGTAATTATTTATGAATTAAATTTTAATATTTTTAAAATAATTTATCAATAAATATTTAATCTATAAATTGTATAAACTAAAATATTAATTTTATTTTAATATAATAATAAATTTTAAGATAAAATTATCAAATAAAAAATATTAAATAGTGTAAGGATTGATCACTATACATGTACCATCCCAAATCCCTAGTATATACCCTCCTTAATTCCACCACTTCTTATAAGGACTTGCTTTTGACATACAAAATGCAATATTAGAAAATACAAGGGTGAATATGCAAAATTGGCAACATCATTTGTTTGTATTCACATAGATTTCATGGCTACGTTTGAAGCCACTCAAACACAAAATACGAAGTTAACAAGAGCCTCAATTTGCATCATCAGCACAGAAAGTCACAGACACAAAGCAGAACAAACAAAGACACAAATCTCTTCTCTTCTCAATCTCTCTCTCTCTCAAATGAGAAGCTAACAACAATATCTTTGCAAAACCAAGAGTTGATGGCTTTTCTTCTACCAAATCTCCAACCTTCTCTCTTGGCCCAATCCAAATCCAAAGACAAACCCCTTCACCAAACTCTCTCACCATCAAAACCCACTTCTCACTTTCCCTTATCTTCCACCACATGCTCCTCTTTACCTCTCCAAACAACTTCAATTGCACAGGTTAACACACCACAGGATAATAAGCAGCAACACCAGCCAAAGGATGAATTCTACCTCAACCTTGGCCTTGCTGTCAGGACCATCCGTGAGGACCTTCCTTTGATCTTCATCAAAGACCTCAATTATGAAATTTATAGGTACCTTTCTCACCCCATCTCTTCAAATTCTCTTCTTTGGACAAAATTCAAATACTATATCTGTGTAGTGTTAGCACTTTGGTCCATGGACATGTACTCGCCTGTCTCAAAGTTGATAACCAAAATTTAGTCTCTTCGTGAAACTTAGCTTCTGTTAGTCATAACAGTGACAGGAATCGATTTGGCAGCATTTAGTGACTAAAATTGGTTGTGCTTAGCACTTAGTAACTAAGTATTGGCACTTAGCACTATTTGTAACCATTGTCTTTCTTTTAGTAACTAAAATTGGTTGTTATTAGCCAGTTAAAATACTAAATTTGGTTGGAAAATAATACGAATAGTAATGGTAGCAACTCACTTTGGAGGGTAAAATAAGTTTAATCTCAATTGTTAACGAGAAAATCAACGGTTGATATTACATGTATATGCATAATACTTCGTGAATGTGTTGAAATATTAATAGTTAATTTATTAAAACAGATTAGTTACTTTTCTCGGCTAAACTTTAGACGAGCCAAATCCCTAGGGTAAGTTTACATGTAATGAATGTGAGTATTAAGGGGGTCTAGTTCAGTTGATTCAGTAGAGGGTATGTTGTATATCCTTTTTATTACCAAATTCGGTTCCTACAGATCAAAAACTGTATCTGAGTTTATCCATTTTTTCATAAATGTTTTAAAGTTTTAAGGAAGTTTTGATTGGAACGTGATCATTTCAGGGATGACATAACATTCATGGACCCCTTGAACACATTTACTGGGATTGAGAAGTACAAATTGATCTTCTGGGCATTGAGGTTTCATGGCAAAATCCTGTTTCGGGAGATTGCACTTGATGTGTATAGGGTGTGGCAGCCTTCAGAGAATGTGATATTGGTTAGGTGGAACCTCAAGGGTGTGCCAAGGGTTCCTTGGGAGACCAAAGGAGAGTTTCAGGGCACTTCAAGGTACAAATTGGACAGAAATGGCAAAATTTATGAACACAAAGTTGATAACTTGGCATTTAATTTCCCACAGAATATTAAACCAGTTTCAGTTTTGGATTTGGTTACTGCATGCCCTGCAAGTCCAAATCCTACCTTTTTGTGGAGTCCTGTTGATGCCTACTCTTCTTCATGGTTAGCCTTTTACAAAGCAGTTAAGGACACATTGGATCAAGAGGGGAGTTTGCTACCTCAAGATGGTCTTGCTACATGTTCATAGCTATGAGCTAGCACTTGTTATGTATACATTAGTGTTTAATAGGTTAGGTATAAGTATAATGAATTTGTTTCATAGCATAAAATGGTTTTTCTTCAAGGACAAGAGTGTATATAGATAGGCAGGGATGCATAAATGTTAAAAGTTGCTCACTTTGTTGTTGAAGGAAATGGGGATTCCTATGTTTGTTAACACATCTATAAGCAGTAAGCTTCTGAAATTAATTTTAGTAGTTGTTGAACAGAACTGAACCTTTTCTTTATTTTTTTCCTCATATAATTGTTGTACCTTATGGATCACCCTTATTTAATGGGGGGCATTCTATAATCTCTTTTAAACTTGTACTATAGTTTTACCCTGGTAATTTTTATTTGTTTATCTTATTAGTCTTCTATTGGCAATTTTCATTCAAATGTTTGAAACTCCGTTTATGACTTAGGATTGGGTACTAATTTGTTCTTTAATAAAATTTGATTTAGAAGTTGTAAAACGACATATATTGTTATGTAGAAATCTTTACCTTCCTCCAATTTCTTTTGGACTAAGTTGGTCAGATATATACACCTGATTGCATTCTCCACATAATACATAGATCACACACATAGTTCCTTTCACTTGTTAAAGAACTCGTATATCTATGTTGACAATGATATAACCTAAAACAGTATTCACATTAATGCAGTTCTGTTATAAACTATATCACAATGATTTGTAGATTTTCATTCCGAAAGGTTTAAACTTACTAGTTTGCAACCAATAAGTGAGTGTGCATTTTTGTTAATGCAAACTTATCTTAACCTAGAAGTGAAAAATGTTACTTATCATTACCTAGAAGTAGAAAATGTAATGAGTGAATGGTCATTTTAGTCCTCAAACTATCAAACAGTAAGTTATGTTAGTACCAAGGACCTGAGAAGGTGTGTTTTGGGTACATGAACTGATATGAAGCAAGTGAAAAAGTTGGAGTAAAGTGGTTATTTACTTGTGACAAAATGTAATTCTAATACTTTCTACTGGAAATCTAGACATAAATCGTATTTGAATTAAGACTATGTACTAGCACTTCTAAAAGAGTAAAATAGGAAGAAAAAATAATATAAGTGATGGTGGAGCTAGGAGAAATGAATGATGAATTTCCTCCTTGTCTTCACCTTGCGTAGGATCTCTTCTTTGGAGAGGAAGAACCGAATGAAGAAACTTGAATTGAAGGAAGTTCTCGGAACAAAGGAGCCTAGACTAAGGATGAAAGTATCCTAGCTTAAGGCTCAAGAGATTGTTCACTTCAAATGTAGGAAAGACTAAGTAGGATTCCTAGGGTTGAAGGCACTCTCACGGTGACTCTTTGAGGGAATTAGCTGAAGAAGATTTTCAGAAATTCTTATTATTCAAAAAGTGATTACAAAGTCGAGTCTTAAGGGATTTATAGGTCCGGTCTTGAGAGCAATTGGCGCCAAGGTGAAAGCTTCACATGTGACGCCAAGATTTGAATTCAAATTTGAAATTTGAATTCAAATCTTCCACTCACATGTGCTTAGTCGTGAACCAAGGAGCTAAATGCACTTAAGTTTAATTTGAGTCTCATTTATGGTTGATTTTGAGTCACACATGTTCAGCGATGAGTGGCGCCATCCATGTGACTCAAAATGCAACTTAAATACAACCTAAATTAAACTTAGTTTTGCCTAATCACCTTAATCCAATAATCCTCCATAAATCCTATGCTAATGACCGAAATACATTGGTCAAGAAAATACAATGGAAAGGAAAATTTACAACAATGAAAATGAGTCCAATATTGGGTGTCAAAAGCCCAAAGGTCCATGAAGCCCAATAAGCCTAAAGCCCAAAATTCCTAAACTATGGTCCAAAATACAAGACCAAAACAAAATACATTCCTACTCTAATAATATGCAATAAAGAGTGGTGTCAAATAATTAAAGTCCAAGTGAAAAGCACCCTAGGCCCACCAAGTCCATTGGGCCCACTAAGCTCTGAAGTAGTCAAGTCTTCAAGTAATCTTCTGGCCATTACTCTAATGGTTGGACCCTTGGTCCATGCTCTTCCATCAATAAGTTTCTTCATAAACTAAAATTAGTTTATGCATAAGCTAAATTGTAAAAGTTCTCTCATTTTAACCTTTTCAAAATCTCATTTTTAATTTATGCATAAGATAATTTTAGCTTATAGAGAAACTTATTTTAATTTTCTTTTTTATTTTTTTCTCCTAAGTATTTTTGAAGAAATTTATCCAAATAGGTCTTTATTGACTTAATTTAAAATCTTATGATTCTGTATTTTCAAACTGGTTCATGTGCACTCTCTAATCTTAACTACTTCTTGCTTCCATGGCAGCTTCTTTGAACATTCCTAATGGATGGTGAAATTCCCATTTTAAGAAGAAAATTGGGAATTTGCCTCTCTTTTCACTTTTTTTTTTCTCATCTGGTTACTTGGAATTTGTCAATTACCATATTTTGACTTGATGTTGTTGACTTTTTTATGATGATATGGTAATTGGAAAAAAAAATACATGGTTGCAAAATACGCTTCTGTTGATATATCCCTACCCACCACTTTAAGTCTTCTTTTTGAATCTGAGTTTTCCTTGAGTTAAACAATGACTGAAGTAGAGGAACAAGATTGCAGCACCCCTTTCTAAGAAAGTTATGTGGTATCCTATCCAAATATATGGGATAAAGCATCAAAATGAAAATTTTTTGATCCATGGTCACAATATTTGGACCTTTGCACAAAAATATAAGAAATTATTTTTGCAATTAATTACTACAAATTTCAGATTTTGAGATGTAGATAATCTCCATTAAGGAGAAAAACTGTGGACTTTTATGTTGGGGAATGGATATCCCGCATTCACTCACTAATGTTATGGCTAACATATTATTAGTATGTATAAGTGGGAAGAAAGTCCCATTTCATTAGAAAACTTTTGGAGTTAACTTAGACTCAAATTCAAATTCTTAAGATGATATTTGATGATAGCAAATATGCAAAAATGCAGTCTTGTGAACTGATGTGAAAATAAATGAGGGATAAGTCTCACCTCATAAACTAGCTTATTTGGATTTAGACTCATTCAAGTTCTCAAGAATTTATATATTGAGATGCCTTCTACTCAAGACAAGACTCAAAAGAGAGATAACGTGAGTTTGCTACCAATAAGAAAATGCTAAGAAATGTCTAATTAGGTTTTACTCAACGCAATTTAAAGAGATGCGTACTCCTTAGAAGATGAGGAATTTTAAGCTTCCAAAATGCTGTAGTTCTTTCTTGTCTCACCTAATTTCTTTTGCGAGTGCGTTACATATGAATGAAAAAAGTTTGTTTCTCGTCTAAATACACTAACAGTTACATACCAAAATATAATTAACGATTAGGGTTGGCTAGTGGTAGGAGTTTGATAGTATAGACAAAGTTTCAAATTTTATTGTAATCATTATAATTTTTACGGATAAAAAAAATACCAATTATATAATTAGGGAAGAGTGAGGAAAATTTTCTGGAAAAATACATAACATGTTAGGCATCTAGCAAGTATACCAATTATCACAAGTAGTAAATAGATAAAAGTCCAAGTATTCATATCTCGAGAACTTGCACTATGATTGATTAATCTAATTTTGATAGTAATTAGGAGAATTAAGAGAAATTATTTGCTTAAAGAATTTCATAAAATTTTAGAAAACAAGTAAGAGTTCAAAAATAGACGATAGTTTAAAATAAGAATTTGACATTAATTTATAGAATTGTTATAGATTATTTTTACTAATCTTGCCTCTATGAATCCCCCCAATTCTCTTTTAGTTTCGGTAATTAAATAATTAATTCAACAACTTTGAATTCACTTAAACCTTAATTTCTTAGATGAAAAATTTTGAGTCCTTTAATAAAAATCTCAATTCATTGATAAAATTTATTAAGTAGTTCGCGTTAAGGTTAAATATCTAAAAATTGACTAATAATGTTTATCCTATTCTTATTAGTAATAAATGTTATCATCTAGAATGTAATTTTAAAATTGTTTCTCAACCTCAAATAAAATATAAGAGAAAAGTAAAAATGATTAGCTGAATAAAACCTTTATTAAATGTGAGCAAGAAGAATTACATGAACTATGACAACTTCATCAACATCTAACAATAGGAGACTTGATCGCTCATGACTAAGGAATTTAAACAAGGTTCAAAAGGAGGTCATCAAGTGATCTATGATTACAAAGGCCCTCACTCTAACTCTCTTTAATCTATATGAAATAAACTAAATGTGAAGCACCCCTCTATTTTCACGAGTCCTAATTTTATAATGTTTTAAATGAGCATTTTTCGTAGAGACTTGCTTAAGTGACAAGGTTGGCTCGCTTAGGTGAACTCAATGACATGTCCAGTTGGCCTTATTGTGTTAGCTCGCTTAGCGAAATCAACTGACTTGTTTGTGTGAGCTTGTCATGATACTCTAAGGGTGTCTTTTGAGTTGACTCGCTAAGAGAAATCATTCGACTTGCTTAAACGACTATGAAATTGTTTAAAACTTGTTTCCCTCTTGCTTTGAGTAAGAGCTCCAATGTTTAGCTCCTTTGAATGTCTTTTTGGCATTAGCTCTTTCATTCCGGTATCTTCAAATTAACAAAAAAACCATAAAAAAATACCTAAAAATTTAAAATAAATCCACTAATTAAATAAAACTAAATTAAAATATTTATTTTTGGCAAATACAAGACCCAAAAATATAATAATCTCGATAATTATCTAAATTAAATAAAAGATATTGATATATTTCACAATTATAAAATATGAAGTATCTTCGACAATAGGTCTCTATTTTAATAGAAATCCATTAGTATTAATATACCTCATGAATATAAATCAGTTAGGAAATGTCATATATAAGTTATATGCACGACATTACATGAGAAACAATGCGACTTGTGACTGAACTTTATATAAGAACCAAAAAAGAAATGTGTTCCAACACATTATGCACTGACTTTAATAAAGTTGTACAATATATATATATATATAATTTATTTATTTTCTAGGAAATGTATTTTTGTTTTCAGGTTGCTATCATATGAAACTAGTGCCAAACCATTATCAGGAAGAGACAAATGCAAAAAGCAACTGCTTCATGATCTTGAGATGATAAGTATTGCAACATTTGACTTTGATATGTTGTTCTGACCTTATCTGAACTTAGATGCTGAATTGAAGCCCTATGAGTACGGTCCCTAACAAGAGGCTCTTACCAACAAAACAAAATGGATTCACACTCTACATTCCACATCTTTGTGAAAGTTGACTCTGAATTTAAAGATCCTCTGATTATTTGTTTTTA